CACCGTCGATGCCATAGTGAAAGGTCGATTTTGTTCTTGGCGGGCAAGTATGGGTTTAGAGGTTAGTTTGGTGGGCAAGTACGGGTTTAGAGGTTAGTAAGTAATCTCACCATTTTAGGTAAGTGCAATTACTAAACGGATCTTGTAGAAATTCTTCTTCTTCGTAGTGCTTGTCCCAACAGCTCAATCCATCTTTAGTTCATTTACATTTGCAGTGGTATCGCAGAAAGCAACCCTACTATCTGAATGTCTAACAATGGTGCTTGGAATTGAGTCACGGCATAATTTCCAACAACTCAGACAAATTATTTATGGTTAGATCTATAAGGATCCCCTAAAGAAATTACGAGCTTAATTTATACGGCTCAAAATAATGCTTCATGCAGTTGAAATGTTTTCATCCGTGTATAAAGCAAGCTAAGACATGTATTATGCATATATCGAGATGCTAATGCCATTACATAGATCATGGAAAAAGGATCACAAGTCTATGCCATAATTGGTTGGTAGCCTTCTTCCCTTCCCTTCTTCATCCGAGAAAGTAGGCCGACAGCAATGGCCATTGCCAGTCCAAACAGAGCTACTATTGCTACAGCAGGTGTGGATACTTTGATGTTTTTATGTATCTACAAGAACCAAGAAACATTTACAGTCTAACCAATTCGCATATAAATGTAGAAGATGCATTCATCTACATTTTGCATAAGATTAGCAGAAACTATTAAAAATGGAATGACAACTTACATGAATTGGAGAAGGCAAGAAATTTGTGGGATTTGGTGTTCTGTCTTCTACCAGAATGTAGAAAAGCCCCATAACTCCTGTGTGCTTCTGAGTACTGTTGTAGTTAGATTCAAGAAGTAGATTCTCCCCAGCTGTTATCTGGATAGAGCCTGGTTCAGGATAACAGGTGGACATTCCTACTATGTAACCTGCCTCGTCTCCTACATCCTTTCCAGTTCCATAAATTGGTTCTGAAGTACATATAACACGTCCATCCTGAAGTGATCAAAGCTGCTTAAGATTAGAATCAGATGTCATATTATCCACTCCCTCTTACACTTGATTGAATGAACATTCTGCAGCATAATTAATGACGAAAGGAGATATGTGGTGGTAGACTGAAAGCAGTCCAATTAAGCCTGAGTGGAAAAAAATATGGACAACAATTTTGGGCTGTCATATTTTTATGATTCCGGACTTATTATTGCATCTAAAACTGAGATTGAAGATTACCTCCCCATACAGAGTTGAACCAGTTCCCCCAGTATGCTGATGAGCAACACCGTAGATGACGTTACCACTGATTGGCATTGTCAGGCTTGTCCTTTTGGCATCAATGCATCCATCAGAAGCTGCATTGGATATGCTGCAAGACTCAACATTATACTCAACCTGCAGAAGAGTGATTCAGAATGTAACAAAAGTTTATGGCACTGTTGGAGATGTGTTTTCGATATTAATAACAACTTCTTAACTACTAGCATCCATGAAGTTTTAGTGCAGTTCACTTGGTGAATACTGACGCAGAGCACACTACTGGCAACGTTCAATATCATAAGACATGAATGCCTGATAAATGTTAACAGGAAAGCGAAAGTTTATACCTGGCAACCATTCTCTGGACCTAGTCCTGTTGAGCCATTAAGCCTTTTTCCAGTATCAGTGACATCAAATATAAAGATCTTAACAGGAATAATGCTACAATCCCAATCCACCCATTCCACCGTATATCGCAGGTATAGACTCCTTCTGGCACCCCCATAACCTTGTTGTACCTCACACTGAGTTTGGTCATAGCAACATCTCAGACCCCCTATGTAGCCTGGCCTCAAAGGTTGACCATGTTTATCCACTGTGATGTTATACAGATCACACCTGCATTCAGTGCATCCCAACCTATCTACGGCGCCTCGTGTATCAATTGCATGAACATTAAGCAACCATTTCTCCTCATACCCTTCAGGAATTTCATCTGGGTTGCCAATTTCTATTGCATAAGGATTGGGAACATGAGTATCCGTTTTTCGTGTTTCAGATCCAAGTCCAAAATACTGTCCCAGAACATTCCCTTGGCATATTCCACTGTTTCCTGCAAATAAATAATCTGACAGTTGAAACTTACGCATATCATTGTTCTCAGCCATACCTTGACGTTGATAGTATTTCGCGACAACCCAATGGTGAAGATAAGTTTCGTGAAGGGGTATAGGGTTCCCGATATCATCAATCACTTCAGCTTTGAAACTCTTGATACCAACATGACCTCTTGGGAAGTCAATATTGCTATAGTATCTATCCTCCACTGATCCTGGTCTCAGCACAAACTCAGGTGAAAGAAAAGTGGCAGATTTGATCTGATTTCCAATTTCCGGCGAAGCTAGGGTGCCGGATACATCAAATGCCAGTATTAGCATTGCAAACAAAAGCAAGCCTCCTTGAGAACAAAGTGCCATATTTTGCCTGTCAGATTCAAAATTTAAGCCAACACTTTTATTTGCCATTCCCTGCCTGAATGGCACAGAATATGTGCGATGATAAATCCATAACTATTTATAAAAGCACGAGTTCGTTAATGTCGAAACATTTGTTTAATTTGAAAAAAAAATATCAATTTTTCCTTGGATGATATTAAGAAAAAAAAATCCTCATATATATCCGTTACATGCATTTAAGAAAATAAATCCTTCTCCATGTTGGTTCTAAAACTCATTTTTTTTAAAAAAAAAATGAAAAATAGGGTATATCTTCTTGATGATCAAATCAACCTTACAGAATGAATCCAGTAAAAAATATGTAAAGCTAGATAGGAAGAAATGAACATACATACCGAGATATGAAAAGTCGTCTATAGTGCCAAAAGTGCTAACTAAGCTCCCTTCCTTCCTTCCTTGTCGAGCTTTTACGTTCACAAGATCACAGGCTAGCTTGTATCCTCTCTCTTTTGCTCCGATAGAGGCAAAGATTATGTCATCCACGAAAAAATTAGAGAGGGAGAGGTTTATAGAAACATGGTCGAGTTTATGTAGAAGACTCTCTGCGCTCTTAAGGATAATAAGAGGGAGGTGTTGGTGTGTGAGCATGAGTCACGAGTATATAGCTGGAGGTATCTGTGATTTTGAATCGGAAATATCAATGGAGGAAACACAGAGAATGGTATTTTGCAAGCGGACTCAATGGGTGATGTTGACAGAAGGAGAAGATGGCCTCAGCCATGACGCTCACAATTTCATTCCGTTTTGAGCACGCCTCTTCTCTTTGTTGGTTGTACAAGGAGACGGCTTTTGAGACCTTAAGATCTATCATCCTATATCCCATTTCTTAGATCTCTTGATTTTCAACTATAAATTCCACGTACTAATTAACCATTCAAAGCATAGTGCTAGCTAGTGTATTAAATCAATGCACTCTTTCATGCTGAGTAACGTCCATTATTTTTATTTTTACTAGTTAATTTCAACGACAAAAAGCTTTAGAAATACAACGTATTTTTAATAATAAAAAGAAGTTGATTTAAGTTTTTTAATCTACAGTAAAATCTAAATTATAGGTTGATATGACATTATTATCAGTGATTTTTACAGGGATAAATTGACTAATTTGATAGTATTTTATTTCGTTTCAAAGATATAAAGTCATAGAAAGGGACGATAGGGAAGTCCCTAAAGATACAAAAGTTCGTTTGCAACACTGCAGGTTGCATTAACGAGGGAGCATTCACATAGTAAGGCAGGGGACCATGGAATACTTAATTTTGTCGATCGGTAAATTATTACCGGACAAGAACTACACGACAATAAACGTAAACAGACCACAAAAATAATGTATGGGTTTGCTTGAATTTTATGGCAAAAGGATGACAGTAATGCTCTATGTATTGATTAGCTAGTGGAATCATCATACCTAGCCTTTTAAGAGGTGATGAAAACTTTTATTATCTTACATGTTTTTTATTTAACTTGCCAACAAGGTAGACAGTTTTCGTGTGATGCTCGATGCTATAATAGGATACATGATGAAGTTGTGAAGAAACATAGATCTTTTTTTTCTTGATTGGCAAATTGAGTTGATGAGTGATTCATAAAACTGGTTTCTTTGAACATGAAACATTTTAATGTTTGAGTTAATATTCTGCACGTGTTGAGAAAATAATAAAAAGTATATATATAAATAATGCATGAAAACATATAGATGTTATAAAATTATATATATTAAAGTACGACGTAACGTAATAATAAAGAATTTAAAATTTATATATTAGATTTTATGTTCAGAATATGTATCTTTTATAAAAATTTAAGATAATTACGTTCGAGTCAGAACGTGTATCTTTTATAAAAATTTAAGATAATTGAGATTTTACTTATTTATCTAGACTTATAAAATAAGCTTTCTAGAAAGTAGAGTTTTTTTAAATAAAAATAATAATTATAAGATTATATTACATGTGTAGTATAATTGGTTAAGTTTTATATTTATTTTTTAAATATTATTTGTTTGAATTCTATAAATTTTAAAGTTATTAAAAATTTATATTATTGTTAATTTTAAAATATATAAAATTAATTAAAATACATCCAATTTATTCACACACAAGCACACAGATTAATGAAATATATATATATATATATATTATATCCTAAGTATGATAGTAGAAAATGATCTAGCTAAGTAATTCAACAACACTGCAGACAACGAATGACTTGCTCTAGCTCAGAGAAGTCATTATGGCATGCCTGCGATCCAGTGGATTGGGCCAGAATGTGAGCGTTCACAAATGCCAAAACGCCAAAACAGCAGCAAGGTTGCGCACCATGGCTCCTCATCAGAAGAGTCACATCTCACTAGACAAGAATGCGTATAACTAAATTTTAAATAATTATCAGATTTTAAATTTATTTTTCTAAAATTATTAATTTAAATTTTATAAATCAAATGATTATTAAAAATTTACATATTTTAAAATCTATAAAATTAATTAAAATATACACATACTAACCTGATTATCTAATTTTTTATATATAAAACAATTGCAATTACATCGTCGCACTGAACACTAGCAAGTCATTTGTATTTGTTTCCACTGGATTGTATGTGGGCCCATATGAGGCCCATTCATTCACAATTTTAGCATTTTTTATTACAACAAATGACGATTCAGTGTAAACCAACAATATTAAAAATCTGATGATTTGATAACCCAATCAGTTTCTGTTGGACTAATCAGATATGTACCTTTGAGAAAAGAAAGTAAGATTTCATAAAATATGTCTCATAAGAATGTTTAAAATATACTGAATTAAGACTATAGGCTAAATTGAAATGTATCAAGAAATTTCGTTACTATAATATTTTTGTATTAAAACAATATACTTTGATTTGGTATCGCTATTACTTTTTGGACATTTTTCCTGTCTAGCTTGGACATTCCATCGCCAAGCCCATGTCCCAGACGAGTTTTCCTGTCTAGCTTGGACATTCCATCGCCAAGCCCATATTCCTCACCAATCTGTGCTGCCGCATTTCTCGACAGCTCCAGTTCTCGCCAGCCTATGCCCCTGACGAGTTTCCTTGTCTGACTTGAACATTCCATCGCCAAGCCTATGTTTGTCAACATCCTGCGCTACCCTGCATTTCTCGACAGCCCCAGTTCTCGCCAGCCTATGCCATTGACGAGTCTTCCATTCTAACTTGGACATTCCATCGTCAAGCCCAGCAATCTGTGCTGCCGATATTCCCTTTGATAAACTTATAGCTGGCATAAATCTGCATTGCTGATTTATCCTATAGTTGGCATGACTGCCAGCATCCTCAGGTCTGGTATTGGACAGTATACCTAGATGTGCACCTCGTGCACATTTAACACTGTAACAGCATGCCTGTAATCCAGTGGTTTGGGCTAGAATGTGAGCGTTCACAAACGCCAAAACAGCAGCAAGGTTGTGCACCATGGCTCCTCATCAGAAGAGTCACATCTCACTAGATAAGAATGCCAGTATAACTAAATTTTAAATAATTATTAGATTTTAATTTTTTTTTTAAATTATTAATTTAAATTTTATAAATCACATAATTATTAAAAATTTACATATTTTAAAATCTATAAAATTAATTAAAATATACACATAGTAACTGAATATCTAATTTTTTATATATAAAAAAATTGCAATTACATCGTCGCACTCTAGCACTAGCAAGTCATTTGTATTTGTTTCCACTGGATTGTATGTGGGCCCATATGAGGCCCATTCATTCACAATTTTAGCATTTTTTATTACAACAAATGACGATTCAGTGTAAACCAACAATATTAAAAATCTGATGATTTGATAATCCAATCAGTTTCAGTTGGACTAGTCAAACATGTACCTTTGAGAAAAGAAAGTAAGATTTCATAAAATATGTCTCATAAGAATGTTTAAAATATACTGAATTAAGACTATAGGCTAAATTGAAATGTATCAAGAAATTTCGTTACTATAATATTTTTGTATTAAAACAATATACTTTGATTTGGTATCGCTATTACTTTTTGGACATCAACATAAGGACATGTTTGGATTAGTTTTCGTACAAGAAAGTTAAATATTTTTCTGATTGAGTCTTAAGCAGAACATGCATGCTCAGATTATTACATGTGCATGAAAATAATTCGAGTTCAAGGACTTAATAGAAGATTTGAGGAGTGGAGGACTAAATTGGTGAACCATAACAAGTTGAAGAACTAAGAAGTAAAGGCATTTAACCCTCAACGGTTGTCTAGTGGAGTGCTCTCCATTTCCTATTTTGGGTAAGTTAGTTATTAATGGCTAAGGTGGGAAATAGGAGCCCAAAAAAACGGAAATTTGACCCAAAAAACAGCGAGCGGGAGGAACGAACAGCATGGGCTGAACCCACCGAATTCGCTGCAATTTTATCAAATTTTGTATCTAAGGACTCTCTCTTTTCTCTCTGTGTCCTCCACTGAAAGAAAGAAGATCAGAAGAAGAAGAAGAAGAAGAAGAAATGGGAAGTAAAGAGCCAGCAAAGGAAAAAAGAGAAAAAAGACTCCAAGAAATTTCTCTTCTCCGTACCATTCCTTACTCTGATCATCAAAGGTACCTTTTTATTAATATTCTTGTCTTAGATCTTTCTTTCTAGTTTTTGCCTAAAAAGATCATGATCACGGTGTTGGTGTTGTGTTATTTTTATGTAGCTTGTTAGGGCATTCTGCTTCAGGATGCTTGTGAATGCCTAATGATGATGCTTCTCAATTATAGAATATTAAATGAATGCTCCCCAAAGGGGTGTAACTTCAATTTGGTTGAATGCTTGTAGGTGGTGGTCATCAGAAACTGTTGCTGTGGTGACCGGTGGAAATAGAGGAATAGGATTTGAGATTGCGAGGCAACTTGCAGACCATGGATTGTCTGCTATCCTGACATCACGAGAAAGTAGCGCAGGCCTTGAAGCTGCCAATGTCTTGCGAGAGTTGGGTTTGAGTGTGGACTTCCATCAACTTGATGTCTTAGATTCTTTATCCATCAAAACGTTTGCTGAGTGGATACAACAAACTTACGGCGGATTAGATGTTTTGGTAAGTCGACTGCACTTTCGTTTTCAAATCTAGTGCTAGTTATACTATAATTCCATGCTTTATGCATGTTATTACATAGATATTGTCCTGAATTTCTTTGCTCTGTCTTAGGCATATTATCCCATTTGCAGGTGAATAATGCAGGTGTTAATTACAATATGGGGTCTGACAATTCTGTTGAAAATGCCAAGAATGTTGTTGATACAAACTATTATGGTATAAAAAATGTCACTGAAGCTCTGATTCCTTTGATGAGACCTTCTGCTGTAGGTGCTCGTATTGTTAATGTAAGTTCACGGCTTGGAAGACTAAATGGCAAACGAAACGTAAGTAATCCTTTCATCTTCCTATAGCCCTTTCTCCGAGCCATAGGATGTTGTTTCGCTTGAGCGATGTAGGGTTGATTTTTTTTTTTTTTTCTTTATCAATTCATGTCAGACCAACGCTATGCATGTGCATGAAGATGGATTCTTTTAACTGGGAAAGATCTGAGGCATATTAATTTAAAATGCAATTCATGCTAGTCTTTTTGTTAGCCTGTCACCTTGGAATGTGTAAATGCTATCGAATTCCTGAACTAGCTTTGGCCATGATTTGCTGACTGCATTTTTATAAAATCAAGGGTCCTTCTTCTGCCACAATATGAGCACAGAAAGTTAGTGTGCTGCTGTAGTCATTTTCATAGAATAGGATCGGATTGTAAACAGAAAAGGGAATGCCAGGTACTCTACCATGAATTACATATCCATTTCCTGCCAAGAACCAAAGGAAAAGGAAAGAGAGTTGTAAATAAAGAAGAAAGGAATTTAAGAAACTCCATTGTCATTATATTGTATCCATGGCTTGTTCAATGTGTCCATTTCTGAGATTCAGCTATCTCATAAAGAGGGTAAAGAGTGGTGCCAGAAGTTTTTTTTTTTTTTAATGTTATGGGGTGCGTGCTCTTTTAACTTTGCTGAATTAATCGTAATTTGGGTGACTTTAACAGAGACTTGAAGACAAAGATTTGAGAGAGCAACTGGCTAACCTGGAAACACTTTCAGAGGAACTCATTGATAGGACGGTGTCTACTTTCCTACAACAAGTAGAAGACGGCACATATACATCAGGTGGATGGCCTCAGGTGAACACTGATTACTCGGTGTCTAAACTTGCAGTTAATGCTTATACTAGGCTATTGGCAAAGAAACTGTCCGATCGGCCTAATGGTCAGAAGATCTATATAAACTGCTACTGCCCAGGGTGGGTGAAGACAGCTATGACAGGCTGGGCTGGTAATGTATCAGCAGGTGATGGAGCTGACACAGGAGTATGGCTGGCCCTGCTTCCAGACCAAGCAATCACAGGAAAATTTTTTGCAGAGAGACGTGAGGTAAACTTCTGAGGCAATTAGGCTGAAAGAAGCCATCAGGTTCCGGAACTGTTTACATTCTTTTGATCAACTGCTGATGCATAACATCCAAAGGTTAAAACAACGTTAAATCCAGTAAGGACTAGAGATGGTAATAACATCAGCCTGCATTTTCTAACAAAGGTGTTTCCCTGTGGATTCTACTTGGGAACGAGAGCAACTACCAAGCCAATGGAACGGGGATTCGTGTACTTAGATTGCAAATCTACTTAATATCTAGAAGGGTATGTCAAGCATCATTCAATAACCAGTTTCCCTTGAAAGAATTATATGTTTGTTGACATTACTTAAGGGAGTGATTGGCCTCAAAATATAACCAAGTCGTCCTGTTGCTGTGATTCTCAGCTGCATAAAGTTGAATTTTCTCCTTTAGTTGTTACCTTGACGTTTTGTTTAAGCTGTGTCGAATTTACTTGCAAATTCTTAATTGTTCTGGTCTTTCGAGATGTTCTTTTTATAGCTTTCCAACTGCAAAACCATTTTCTTGTCATTGAAAGATAAGGAATGTTCAAGGTTAATTTATGATAAAACTAGGGGATATTTCTCCAGTGGTTTGCCTATGAATTTTTCTTGTGGTCACAATCATAACTGGTTGCTGGTTACCGTAAGACTGTTGAAGGATAACCATAACTAGTTCGTGAGAGGAATAAATTACGGATTTCGCTCTTCTCATGTTCTTGAGAGCCATGATCTATCATAATCATTCAATCCACATCTCTGAAATCAAATCAACAATTATGGTTTTTATTCAGCATGAATAGAAGGAGGTGGTTAGAAAATGTGATTGAGTAATCATTTGATTCTCAGATAAAATCCAGCCAATTAGAGATATAATTAACAGGCTAACAACGATATAAGGTTTACTATGCAGCGACTGATATCTCCAATTTCTGGGTTTGTATGCTAAGCAGAAGGGTTTCCAGACAGAGACTGCATGGGAGAGGCCCTTCTAAGATTATCCTTCTAGTTTTGCTTCTTCTTTATTTATTTATCAGATATGTCTCTCCACTACGAAACCGGATGTACTAAACCTTGAACTTTCAGGTCACGCGTCGTGCCTCTAACAAATCTGTAAATTAAGCGAAAATAGAGGGTGAAATTCACGACAAGTTAATAGTGGGGGTTAATAAAGATATATTGAAAACTATAAATTAATATATTGAATACAAATTCATAGATAAATTAAATATTAAAAAAATTCCTCCTAGGAATAATTTTTATTTTATGTATTTCTTTTATTTTTATGTAGCAGATTAATTTTTGAGTTTGGGGTAACTTTTTTTCTTTTGGGTATGCGGGTAAAGTAATTTTTTTTTATTTTACATTTCAAAAAGAAATATATATATATAAATTGTTATATATAATTAATTGGAGAACCACACATGTTTTTTATCCAATAAAGCTATGTTATATCACAATAAATAGTTTCATGAACATGCTCAAAATCCATCAATGCTAATCATATACTCAAAATTACTTCTTAATAACTTGTATTTTGGAAAATTGATTTATGTAAGGAATAAAAGATAAAGAAAAAGTAATAAATAAAGATAATTAATAATGGACCAAAAAATTGTTTGAAATTACCACTTTCATCATTTTTTTTATTTATTTGTGTCTTTTTTTAAAGTTGTGTGATATAACAGCGTCTTTTCTTTTGTTACATATTTAAAGAAAAGTAAAATTATTAACAATCGTTCGCTTCTGGCCCCTAAGCAAACCAACATATGTTTTTTTTGAAAAAAAAAAGAAAAAAGAAAAATCGAAAAAGAAAAGGTGAAGAACATCATGTATGCGGTGCGCCTACCATCAACGTAGCATTGCATCTCAACCATTAACTGAACCTAACTCCATCCAAGACGACGACATGTGTTTCAAAGTTATCCTTAAATGACATGTCGTCAAAGAATCTCTTGCCTTTTTTGCTCCCTTTATTTATTGCTTGTTGCTACAGAAGAAGATGATCAACAAAATGGCTAGCTTGAGAAGAGCCCTGGTTACCGTCCACCGTATCCTCAACTCCACGATCACAACCAATCGCATCTCAGTTACATCCCCTTTAAGGTACCCCACAGAGGAAGATGATCAACAAAATGGCTAGCTGGAGAAGAGCCCTGGTTACCGTCCACCGCATCCTCAACTCCACGACCACAACCAATCACATCTCAGTTACATCCCCTTTAAGGTACCTATAAATTTTCACCTTTAAATCTCGATTCTTTTAATGTTATTTAACTCTAAAGATTTAAACTTTTTGGTTTTTTCAGGTCTCAATATGGGCTGTTTTCACGTTATTCAACGTTAAACAAAAATGATAATAAAAATCCATCATTGGATTTTGACCTATCTAATGAAGAAAGCAAAAGGAGATTATGTAACAGGTATTCTTGTCTGATTTTTTAAATAAAGTTTTCATCTTTTTAAGATTTTTGTTGTTGTTTTTGTGTTTATTACATGGACTGATTATTTTGTTTTTGTGTTTAAGGCTGTTGTATAGGAGCAGACAAAGAGGGTTTTTGGAGCTGGATTTGGTGTTGGGGAAATGGGTAGAAGAGCATATTTATTCTATGGATGAAAATGGTGTTAAAGCACTAATTGATGTTCTTGATTTGGTAAATAATAATTCTCCATCATTTCATTTGTTGGTCAGCATGAGTTTTTATGATTAATTATGGTTTTAATTTTAATTTTTTTTCTTTTAGCTTATTTTCTGGTCTTTGCTCTAACCACAGGATTAGTTTGTTCTAATCACTTCAATTGGTGATAATATCAAATGTTAGCTTATATAAATTTTCTCAGTTGAAGCTGGTTCTCAATGTGAACTTTGGTCTTGTGTGAACTAACTGGGTATAAGGTGGTTTGAATGATTAAAAAATTGCAACTTTAAGGGAGTTTTAAGGGCTTGGAGGTAATTTTTGAATTCTGCCGTAGATATTGTCAATTGGAACCAAAGTATTACATTTGCCACAGCTCTTTGGTTCTGATTTTTGTGTTGTCCATTACGCAATGGTATTTGATTGAATTATATTCTGTTTAAGCTTTTTTGACTGAAAATATATTTATAAACACCAAAGTTTGAACCTTGGATGTAAGCCGTACCATTATCCTATACCCAACCCAAGCCCAGAAGCCAAGATTTATTCTGTTATTAAAATGTCTGATGTAGGCTTGTGCTGAACCTGAAGACCTTCGGCAGGTTTTAAATCCATCTATTCCTCCGGATTCTTCCTTTCCCTATAAATTGCATGCTTATGTGGTTTCTTTGTTGTTTTAGGTTTTCTCTGCTGTGCGTGACAAGATCATGAACAATCTCAGCAGCCATGCTGCCCCCGAGACACGGGCAATACCTGGACAGCCATGGGTAAGAGGATGGGATGATATCAAGAAAAGTGCTGGCAGCCCAGTGGCTGGAAACCAGTAGCCCTACTACCACCAGGAAGCTATATAGACTGTTCATTTGAGCTTTTTGACGAGTCATAATCTATTAACGTGTGCTCTTATGAATACCGTAATTGTTGTTGTTATTTCTTCTCATGACTAGCAAAATGAAAAAGGACCGTTGGCTGTTAACAGAAGTGGAGCTGTATTTGGAGGTTTTTCATTTCACACTGTTGAACCTTATAATAAGATTATTTGATTCAGGAGATTTTTAGAAAAAAAAATATTTGTTTTTTTAATTATTTTTATTCTATTTAGTTTTGAAAAATATCTCAGTATGCTGTTTGTATTTCTTTTTTATTCAAGCTCGTTTGAAACTTGATTTAACTTGTATTTTTTTTTAAATTAATTTTTTTAAATCATTTTAATATTCTATCAGAAATAACTTAAAAAAAAATCATATAATTTTAAGTAGAACAACATTTTAATCAGCGACTGCAATCCCAGGACATTATTGAAGCACACGTCAAAATTAAGTGCAGCCACGAGGCAATTTTTTTATGAATCCATAGTTTTGTGGGGCTGACAGTGGAATTTCCGATTTTGGTGTCCAAGGATAAAGCCACATCCTCTGTATCTTTCGTGGACGTTATTTATTCACCCTGTTGCTCGTGCTATCCTCTTGTCACTTGGTTCTTCATTCCACACATTGAATTGTAAGAGAACAAGAGCAATGGGCTCTAAAGTCCAATCTCTCTCTCTCCTCATTCTCCTATTAGCCTTCTCTCTTTGTTTCTGTTGTCACTTGATTCTTCATTCCACACATTGAATTGTAAAAGAACAAGAGCAATGGGCTCTAAAGTCAAATCTCTCTCTCTCCTCGTTCTCCTATTAGCCTTCTCTCTTTGTTTCTCTTCACTATCATCAAAACCAGCAGACCCAACTCCAGCTCCATGGCCACACCAATTCCACTCAATAATTTTCATGAATAACAATGGCTCACTTCAGGCAGTGGACCTCTGGTATGACTGGATTAATGGCCGCAACTTCAACATAATCCAGAACCAACTTGGAAAGCTTCTTTATGACCTTGAATGGGATAATGGCACCTCCTATATCTACACGTTAGACTCCAATAAAGAATGCAGAGTCTTGCATTTCCCAGTCGGTGTTCTCCGCCCCAATTGGCTTGAAGGTGCTACCTATCTTGGCCAACAAGAAGTTGATGGCTTCTTCTGCAATGTGTGGCAGAAGGTGGACTTTATTTGGTACTATGAAGATGTCATAACAAAGAGACCTGTTCACTGGGTCTTTTACACAGGTACTCCTTTTGATACCATCTCCTTTTAACTTAAATTTTAACCCTTGCCCATTTCTTTTCATCATTATCTGTTTGTTGTTTATCAAGTTCATAAGTTATAGATTGATTGGTATAATTAGATTCTGGTTATTTGCTAAAAGTGTGATTATTAGGGCTTTTTGATGATGAAAATCCCATGGATTCGCAGGAATGACTGCTCATGTGATGACATTTGAAGTGGGGGCGGTGCTAGAGGATCCGAAGTGGCAGGCTCCCGTTTACTGTTTTAAGGAGTCTGAGAAGAAGGAGAGCACTGTCTATAAATCTGTGGTTAGTCATGGATTATCTCGTGAAGGGTTAATGACGGGATCGTATAATGTTTCTATGCTGTATTGATTGTCTCTTATGAGCTTCATTTCCTTTGTATCTTAATACACTTCCTGACTATATTACAATTGATTCTCAATTGCATCTTCAATTACGTTCTGGTATATACCTGTCAGAAGAATTAGCTGCCAAAATTTTCCATTGCAATATTCTTGTAAGTTTCTGAACTACCAAAATTTATGGAAAACAAAACTGGCAAGTGGTGTCATTATAGAAGGCTCAAAACTTTTCATCTTTAAAGTTTTTTGCCTGAAATATAAAGAATACATCGCCACCTACTAGTAAAGAAAGGTACAAGGGTAAGAAAAAGAAAGCTAAAAATACCTATTAATCTGTCTGATTTGTACAGTCTGTGTCTTGATGTTTGGCCAAGTAGACTGAAACCAGGCTCTCCCCATAATCATGAGCTTCGTTAACCCTATGAGCTCTCTCTACCAGAAGCTTTTTAGAGTGTTGGATTGAGGGGTGAAAGAAACACAAGTCAGTTCTCCTTTCAAGTGGCTGGAGTTTAGTTTGTTCCATTACTATAATTTTATCATGCTCCCAAATTCTTAAAGGCTAAAGGCTTCAGCATTGTAGTCATAGCCATTGGATTTTGTTGTATACTAAATAAGAATAGCCTTGTCCATGAATCATCCCGTGTTCTTGGACATCCAAAATTATCAAATTCAAGATTTTCCCTTGCAGTAATTGACAACCAACACAATAGATTTCTGTTTCTGAAACTTTCACCTTTACACCAAACCATCAATTTTAATACTCAAAATCAGCATCACATCATGTGCCAGATGATGTAAGTTCCTAGTTTTTTTAAATGTTTCTCAACTTCCAAAGTTCTAGGAAGGGCTAAAAAATTTTTATCTGTAAATTCTTTTTTGACTGAAGTACTATAAAACATAAATAGCAGTACTAATTAAAGAAAGGCATAAAATGAAAGAAAAAGAAAGCTACAAATATCTGATAATATGTCTAATTTGTACTATCTTGATGTTTAGCTATTCAAAGCTTGTTTGAGATTGCGTGGTAAGGTTAGTTTTTAAAGTATTTTTTAAAATATATATTAAAATATTTTATTTTATTTTATTTTATTATTAGTATATTAAAAAAATTAAAAAAATATTAGTTTAAATTTTTTTAAAAACACAACCACGTCATGCAAACACCCTAGTAGCATGAGCATGAAACCATGCTCTCCACGTAGCAACCAAACCTTGAAAGAATGTGCGGGCATGCGACTGGTAATGACATTATAATTGAAGAATTCATCAAAAAAAAAAAAAGGTTAACAAATGTGTAAATAGTTAAATACTACGCTAATCCTGCATGCTAATTGCGCTATATTCTAGTCCAATTTATTTGTCATTTGGAAATAATAGGATTATATTATTTACTTGGAAGCACATATACATCAAAATGTTGAATTTGCTAGGATATGATACGAGGAAGATAAAATCTGAACATTTTTTGGGATTAAATTTTTATTTTAAAAAATGATCCAAATATATATTTAAGTTTTATGAGCTAAATAACTTAAACATTTAAGTAGATAGAACATTAATAAAATGTCAATCAGTGAAATATTATGCTTGATAAATGATCACATTCTTATGTTAGAGGTGCTTTAAAATAAACAATAAATATTGCTATAATTTTTTTTTTCTTGTAACAAGAATAAAAAAAAAAATCCAGGGAATGAAGAATAATGAATAATGAAATACATACCAGGGATAGGGGATCTGATGATGATGGAAATCAGGTTGCTTTCATGGTTTGAGTATCATTTTATTTGGGAATGAAGTTGGAGCTTTTCCCTTTTCTTTTCTTTCTTCCATTTGTTATTAACGTGAGTTTTGGTTATAGGTTTGGGAAGTGAAAGAAGGACCTTGCGAGTTCAAGCCTGCTCCACTCTCTGTCTATGGAGAAAAGAGTAAACAATTTTGCTTGGTTTTATAGCTTACAAGTAACATTTGCTATTAAATTTAGCATCAGTGAACTCGCCGTCTGGATGATAGTTGAGGCATTAACCCATCATAATTAGCTAACCATCATGGGATTTGATAGGTATAGACGGCGGTGGGAACAGCTGGGAGGATTTGGCATGGTGGGACTGCATAAGTTGTAGCATCAAGTAATCTAAATTAGGTCAATATCATCCCTCTTCATCAGGGAATGGAATGAGTTTTTTTAATAGGTGATACTGATACTACTTCACAAAGGAGATGTTTTTGCAATTCCTAACCTTGTCAATGCTGCAAAATGGGCCAGGCCCGCCCCCCCCCCCCCCCCCAGCTTATTTCCTAGATGCTCTTTTTTTTTCTTTTTTTTTTTATTTACGTGGGGTGTTTGGGCGCACCACGACTAATCCCCACGGCCCACTGAATACCCTGCAAACCTAGTAGGCATGTAAGGCGCCGCGGGTATGACAGGCATGCACGCCAGGCTCGAATCCAGGTACAGTGAAAGAAGACAGTTTTTTTAATAGGTGATACTGATACTACTTCACAAAGGAGATGTTTTTGCAATTCCTAACCTTGTCAATGCTGCAATGCCCCCCGCGTCCAAGCTTATTTCCTAGATGCTCCTTGAAGCGGGAATGCAAGCTTATTTCCTAGATGCTCCTTGAAGATATGGGAGAAGTTTATCTTATCCCCAGCTTACCAAGCTGAGGATCTTTAAACTCTGTTCTTTTTCATTGTTACTTGGAATGATAAGAAGACAACTGTTTTTCAACTATTAGAACAGTGGCAGCAGAAAGTGCTACTGAACATATGTTGTCCTAAATGGAATAAAAAATACAAGAAAAGTTCTATGAACTCCAGCATTCACATGATGACATTCGTGTCACACTGGGGTTTACAAGGAGTTGCTGCCATTCAACCTGGGAAGGAATTGTTGATGTAGAAGTATATGCCAGCAAGAGCTACAATTCCAACCACCACTGCAATTGGCAAAGCTCGCCTGACGAGTTCAAATTCAAAATAAAAGGCGTGAATTATAGCATGATCAAGCTATGAGGCAAAAACAAAATGTAAATTGCATCGTTTCACCAGTTGTGAAGAATTACGCATACCCAATTGCTTCATCTTTCTGGATCTGTGCTTTACGTGCCTTGCGAACATCTTTGTCATTAACATTTTTTGTCACTGCAGGCATGTATTCCCTAAATCTCCTTTTAGGAGCACCACAAACTGCAAAGCATAATTAACTCGACATTAGTACAACCCTTGTAATTTTGTAATCTAAACAGGCCTAAAAAATATTTTAAAATATACCTCCCGAACTTTTTATCCTGTCAGGTGTCAACGACTTTTCAAGCATTTCGCTTAGGATTAGATAGCAATACTTAAATAAACCAACGAAATCAGCACTCTGTGGATAAGGCTATCTAGATTCTAGGGTAACACCACAGCTTACACTTTGATGCAAGGCCATTATAGATGCAAATTATCACCACTAATAACAATAACTAGACATGATCAGTTGACTGTGTGAGGGATGGCCATGAGATAATTTTTTTCAGTGGAAAATGAACATTCAAATAAATCCCAGAGATGAAAGTAATTACCAGGGCAGAAGTAATTATCAGGCTGTTTGTCGAAGGGTTTCCTGTCATTGTAAATATATCTGCATCACAATAATTAAGTTATCAAACCAAATCCTGTTAATTTCGCTTCCAAATGCTAAAACCAATACCGTGCAAGAAATAAAAGAAAAAAGGAAAATAAATAGTACCCGCAATCTCTACAAATGTAGGCCTGCTTGGTTGCAGCACGCATGGAGAATCTTGGTGCAGCAGATGCAAGAGACTGCTTCTGACTGTAAGATGCAATCAAGAGGTGAAGTGAAGGAGAAAAGAAGGATGATTTTAGAGCAAAACGATCAGATGGTGCTTTAAGACCAACACTGTTGCCATTAGGAGCTAAAAGAGAAGGTGGCGGTGATGTTCTTGTGGCTTGAAGCCTTATTGGTGCATGCAAGGCCATTTTTGCAGGACTTTTTCCTCTTCTCTTCCTCTCAGACTGTCTTCGTTTAACAGTAAAGAGAAGAGATATGAGGATAAGTGAGTGGTGTGTAGAGGTAAAGGTAAATAGTGTAGGAAGTTTGGAGAGCAAATGGAAGCGTGGCTTTCATGCTCCCCACACAAGCTTCTTCTACCCTCTTCTTTTGGGCTTTTCCTTATCTTTGTCCCACAATGTCGTGGGACAATTTGGTGCCTATAGTTTTTTATTTTCTTTTTAAGTTCAGAATTCAGACAAAGATTACAGTTTTGCCCAAATTCACTATTGGACAATTTCCTGTCTTCTTCTTCTTCGTCGTCTTCTTCTTCTTGGAATAATGGTAAAATACCCGAATGGAAATCTCCAATAACATCTTAATTCTAGAAAACATGAATTAAAAATATCACCGATTAACATATATGCATAGATTTAATGACAACAGAGGTCATTGATTCTAGTTTTTTTCAAAAAAAAAAAATTGATGATGAAATAATCAATGTTTGATTATTTTTTCTTTATATGTTAGTTATTTTTTTAATATTCCATATATTTTTTTAATTTAATCTCTAAAAACATTTAGTCAGCTTGCATGTGATTTTCACGTGCTTCCTAAGCCCTTTTCATTTATAATTCAAAATTAAATCTAAATATGTTATAAAAAATAAATTTAATGTCGAATCATAAAAAAAAAAAAAAAATTCTCTCTTCTTGCTTGACCAGCCTGTTTGAAAGGAAAGTAAAGAAAATTTGTTATGATTTGAGAGTAAAATTGTTTTTTAAAACAACTTCTCAATTATTTTCACTTTCAATAAAGTATTTAATGAACATCTATAAATTATATCAAAATATTTTAATTGATTATGGATCACGAATGACACATGAACTGTTGCATTGTTTAACTTCAATCAATTCCATTTAGGAAAACAATGATAAAATGAAAGGTTTAAGATTATCAAATAAATTATAAAAAAAAGGCCATCCAGGCTTTATTTTTTTATTTTATTTTTTAATATTAAAAAAATATTATTTTTTAATATTTTTATTAATTTTATTATTTATTATTTATTAATTTTAATTAATTTTTATAATTTATTTTGATTTACTTTCTCTGAAATTACAAGGTCTCAAATAAATATCTTGTTATTTGATGAACATTTAATTTTATAAAAATTTATTTTTGTTATTATATAATTAAATTATTTTTTTTCTTGTAAAATATTATTAAATACAATAAATTTTATGATCATAATTATGGGTTAAACTGTGAAGCTGAAGTTATTTATCTCAATATTTTTTTAAAAAAAATACTAACTTAATTTTATTTTAAAATCAAATTTAGTATTTTAAAAAAATATTAACTCAATCAAATGATATTAACTCAACATGATTTAATTTTTTTATATTAAAAAACTAATATCATAGCATCCATTAATAACTTAACGCTTTAGGGTCATTAAACCCGCATTCAAAGAAACAATAAAAAGGGGTAATTAGTTCTCCATATTCCTTTTGAGAGATTCTATGCAAAATTGGCAAAAAGAAAAGAAAAGAAATTGTTTATTTTTAGGACCAACTATGAAATTAATAAATTATTAATCTAGGTCTTCAATAGATGAACACGTGTAAATAATGAATAAAAATGATTTAAAAATTAAAAATTTAACGATTTGCACGTCCTAATTTGTTTTAGTTAACTCACTTAAAGAATTATGGACACAGCTTAACAAAAGCAAGTACTCTTATTCCATTGATCATAATTACTTTGTGTTAGCGAGCCCCCTGGAAGAGCGTCAATCCTCTGTGCTTAAGCTTATGTTCTTTAGCTGGCACGACCTTTTTAAGTTCTTCCACCTCCACCTTAAAAATATCCATGGTGGAACTCAGTAGGGGTAATTACTAATTAGTCGATATTTCATTAATAAACGCAATTTATTCTGATTTAAAAATCGGAATTAGGAGTCTCTTGGATTTCAATTTCATTCCTCACTCCAAAATATAAATATATAGAGAGACTAATTTCCTGATATTAATTGATTAAAGTTTGCTAGTAAATGAAGTACGCTAATCTTGTTTTATTTGCATGCTGTTCGATGTATGTAAATTAAGTGCAACATTGTTTAAATAAAAGGACATATATGTAGTGTAAGAACTCTGCAACACTAGATGAAGATGTACATGTGGATTTTCTGAAAATAAAACAACCCGGTATGAATATGGCATCAATAATTGCTTCTAACTAGCAGTGCTCAGCAATGGTTGGGATTTTTTTTCTAAACTTAAAAAAAAATACATGTCCTTGAACCAATTAAGTTGTTTGATGTTTATTTTCTAGTTTAAGTTTTAAATTAAACTATGTCAAAGTTTATTCAAAGTGAATTATTTAATTTAATAAATTTAAAACTGATAAAAATATAATATAACTGTTAAAAAAATTTAACACAACAAATTTTTTTTGCATTGAGACAATGTATGGCAGATTGGATCGATCTTGATCAATTTTTAATCTGGATTATAAATTTTAATAAATTTAATAAATTTATTATTTTTATAAATTATTTTTGTTTAATTTTATGATAACATTAGATACTTTTAAAATTGAACATCAACCCTAAAAAAATATTTATTTGAGATCATGATAACTTTATAGAAAATAAAAAAATAAATCATGAATTTCATTTCTCAACCAATCTAATATTAAATAAGAGTGAAATAAAAAAAATAATTAAAAAAATTAAAGGACTGTAAACTAAAAAAAATAAATATTAAATTTGATGGATAAACCAATTAAACCTGTGAATTGGATAATCTGGGTCAATACATCAAACTCATAAATCAGGTAAATGACTCCATTAAAATTAATAACTCAGGTTAATCTCGTCAAATTGACATATTAAATTATTAATTTCATAAAATTTATTAACCTAGTTTTTTTTAATGATATGAATTAAATGAAAGAAATAAAATAATAAGTTTTATTTTTTCACTCATGAAATCATTATCATCCAGGTGTCATGCTTTAAATTCAATAAAAATGATAGTAAAATCTTTTTAAGAACTTTTTTTCCATGATATTTTTCAAAAAGTAGTTTCTAATTACTTTCAGAAAAAACTTTCTATAATTGTTGCCTCGTGATCGGAGGAATTGACAAATCCTTCATCCATTGTTGTAAAACAAATACTTGTGTTGTGCTGTGTAAAAATAAAAAAGATAAGTGGCCATATAAATAATTGATTCTGCACTGCTCCATTATACAATATACTTTAGGAAAAGGATAGCAAGGAAGGCCATCGGCATCATGCCTCATAGGGACTGGATACTAACATGTCTGCATTATCTCTGAATTAACGCCAGGAGATGTTCTTCATCTTCCTCCTTCAAAAAAAAATAAAATAAAATAAAAATTGCAGTGAAGCATAATTCAATTTTTTTATAAAAGATTCAGGTAGTCATCGGTGAATAAAACCAAATATCTAATTAATTATACAGTGAAGCATAATTCAATTTTTTTTTATAAAATATTCAGGTAGTCATCTGTGAATAAAACCAAATATCTAATTAATTATTTATTTCATAGGTTTTTTAGGGATATTTAGAATTGTGGTATTGTTTACTTTTTAAAGTATTTTTTATTCAAAAATATATCAAATATATATTATAAAAAAATTATTTTTAATATCAGCACATCAAAATAAATCAAAAGCATAACAAAATATTAATTTAAATTAAAAAAATTAAATTCTTTTAAAAAAACTTTTAAAACAAAAAAAAAATATACCTTTATTAACCTACCCAAGAATCATATATGATAATGGATTTAGCTATGATATCATAGTGTAGTGTCTATCCACTAATAGTTTTTTATTATTACTGTATAGTGATTGATTTTTAAAATAATTTTTATTTAAAAATATATTAAAATAATTATTTTTATTTTCTAAAGTTTATGTTTAATATCAATACATTATAAATAATAAATTTATTATATCCTAAATTTTGTATCATTACATTATGTAATCTACGTGAGGAGAAAAGAGTGAGAACTAGGAAATCAGTAACGTACCTCAGGACCTGACAGTGATGTGTCTGTAGTTTTAGCTAAATATCTGTATAAGACCTGACAATATTGAGATTCTGGTTAGACGTCATTCAATTTGTTTTCAGAAATTCAAGTAATTATCGGTTAACATAACAAAAATAAATATCTAATATTAATAATTCATTTCATAGTTTTTTTTTTTACATGAAGACATCAGTATTGACCAGACTCATTAATAATATAAGAATCATACATTCTAAGAAAACTTTGGTGGAGTGCCTATCCACTAAAATATAAAAAAATAAAAAGTCTATTTACATATATAAATAATTTAATGTATATATTTATAATTTTATCAATATATATGAAACATATTTTGTATAGCCTTTTATTTTCTAATATTAATTTTGTGAGATACTTGTAAGTATTTTAATTTTTTTATGGATAATTTACTATAATTTTATCAATATACCCAAACTTTTTATTTCCAGTATCGCCACACTTGACAAATCATTCATGCATTTTTGTAAACCAGAGACTTGTGCTGGGCAAAAGTAAAGACACAGTTTTATCATACAATCTACCTGTGAAAAGAACAATAAAAGAGGAAATCACTGTCTTACCTCGACAGGTCTTGACATTGACATGTCTACAATACCTTTTGCGTACTTTTCTACGGCCAACTGATATTTTCGACTCTCATCCTTTTTAAGAAAGAATTGCAGAATTCAAGAAGTCATCAATTAATAAAAACAAATATCTGATATTAATCATAGTTTTCTTAGACACAAAGGCATCAATATTAACCACACTTATTAATTATTTGAGAATGATAAATAAACCCTGTTTGTTTGCAGGAAAATTGTTTTTTTTTTAAAGTGAATTCCGAGAAAAATGAATTCCGGAAAAGTAAATTCCGGAGAAAATAAATTCCTTAAAAGTAAAATATTTTTTGATGTTTGGCAGTGTTATGGAAAATGAACTGGAAAACACTTTCCAATGTTTGGTTATGTTATGGAAAATGAACTGAAAAATAATTTATTAATATTTTATTTTT